TGTTAGTTCCTCTTCCTCTATACTCACATCTCAAATATCAGAAATTGATAAGGTCCCAATCTTGGTTATCTTCCATTACACTTTTCTTGCTCTCTCTAGATGATTTGTTCCGTGGCTTCAACCAACAGCTGTCTGCCAATGATTTCCAGGATTAGACACCTCTCCAGAGATTACGACAGGGACATGGAAAGGTGGGTCTCATGCTCTGGAGAAGTGTTTTTCCATCTTCTTATGGCAATCTTCACCTGGATAGCCCACAGATACTTCAAATTCAGCGCATCTAAAACTAAACCTATCTCCCTCTAGTTCTACCCCCAAAGTGATCTTCTTCCTGTGGTCCCTATGTTAATTACCAGCATGAAATCCACTGAGTGGCTCAAGTTGAAAACTTGACTTCTCTCTCATCTTTTGTAGCCAGTCTCCAAGATCTCTCCTTTCTACCTCTTAAAAAGCTGTCACTTACATCTTTTCCTTTCTATATTCACATCCAGGACTTAAGTCTAGGCCTTCAGAGGCCACACTATCCCTGTATCTGCCCATTCCCATCTTTTATACCACAGTCTGAACTATTATAATTTGCAAGTCAAATTATACCACCCTCCTACCAGAGAAAATTCTAAACTTCTTAGCAAAAACCTAAGCCCCTTCACCTTCTGGCCCACTTTCCAAAAAATTTCACTATATCCCATACACAGAACTATTCCTCTGGTCATTTCAGAATGCTGGAGCTTTCCTGAATACACTATGCCACTTGCAAAGTTTCCTTCCACCTGAAATGCCCTCACCCCATTTATCCAGTCGGCCAATTTATACCTTATGGCTAGACTCTCATTGAATGTCACCTCCTCCATGAAGCCTTCCCCAACCCAACATCTACCCTGCCATCCTGTCTTCATCACTGAGAATTAACTACTCCATGCTGGTGGTGCCCTGCACTCCCATTACTCTCCTGCAATGAGCTAATTACATCTGCATCTCCTGCACTAGGCTGTAAGGTCCATGAAGGCAGGGACCATAACTGGCCCACCAACCAAAGTACCTGAAACAGCAAGCCTTAGTAAATATGTGATGGACGAAGGCAATAATTGGTGGTCACGAACAGTTATGGGGATGTAAAGCACACCATAGTAAATAGTCAATAATCTTGTAATAACTATATACAGTCCCAGGTAGGTGCTTGAAACATCAGGGGAACACTTTTCAAAGTATATGATCGCCTAACTACTGTGCGCTATACCTGAAATTAATACAAATAATATTGAATGTAGACTGAATTGAAAAGTAAACTTTTTTAAAAAAGAAAAATAAAAGCTTAGAAAGGTGAAGTAGTTCTCCCAACGTCAACAACTAGCAAATTCAGATCTGCTTTTGGCACCTGCGCTACTTTTTTTAACCACTCCTTCCTACTCCTGGAGGAAAGAGATGGATAATGGACTCTATTTCTATACAAACAACCTCTCCTAATCACAGGCTCAGGCCCTCTGTTAGCCCCAAATCCATTACCACCAGGGTGCTGGTGAACAGTAAACCCTTGCTGATGGACTCCTGGTGGCTATCAGGGTTCCAACCAATAAGGAGAGGGGGAACCATTTACCACAATGAGCTCCTTGGTCTCTGGCTAAGGATGCACTCCCCAGAAACACAGAGAGAAGGCTGGATTTCCCCTAAGTACCTTCAGGTTTCCTACACTGGTGTCCATGCCCTATTCTGGGAACAGAGAAGTGGGTGTGAGGGATGGTAGTAAGAAATGGAAGAGCTTTTTAATGCTCGCTCCGGGAAAGTAGCCGCAATACTTCAGTCACTCCTTGTACAAATGCTCTCGCCACCTAGCATGAGAGAACGTTTCCACATGCAGTCTACACTCTTGGGGTTAGCAATATACCATTAGCTATATAATCAGTGGGCCATCACTGAACACATATACCTCGTGTCTCCCAACCCACAGTATTGTGCTGCATTCAGTTGTCTTTTTCAATCATTTTCTCTTAATTTTACGTATTTTCTGTCGAATGCATTCTAAAATTGGCCTCTTCAATTTCTGTAATTCTAACGACAATATCAGTCCCCTATTTCCCATTAAGAACTCTACCACCACCAGGACTATTCAGCACATAAGTGAAATCAATCCTTTGCTTACCCTGATTAATACATTTAATCCTCTCGAATCATAGATGACTTGAACTTGCCCAAGGTCACTCAGCTAATAAGATTTACACACGCACACTGGACTCCAGACATGAGGACTATTTGCCAGTATTCTCCCACCTGTGTTCTCTCCCTTTGTATCCCTGCTTACTGTGTTGGGAAGTCTTTCTCTCCATTCCCAACCCTTTTCACCTGCCAAATTCCTATTGGTCCTTTAAAGCTCAGCTCAAGGGTCCCTTCTTCCATGAACCTTTTCAGGTCTTCTCTGCTCTCTCCCCAACCGGGGAGGGGTGCCTCTGGCATGGGCTTTCCCCTCTCTGTTTTTGTTGAAATGTAACTATCAGCTGCATTCTCTATTTCTCCCTTACTAGGCTCTAGGATCCTCTGGAGCAGGGTAGGGTCTGGGTCTTGTCTTGAGATTCCCAGTACCAATCCAGTGCATGGCACGTGGCACAGACACAACAAATGCTTGCTGAAAACTGAGTGGTGACCCTACTCCTCTGATTTGGCCAAAGATCTGGTGAACAATGTCATCTGACTTAGCCGGAGAGATTTCTCATCCGGAGCAATGTCATTTTCTCAGCTTTCCATGAACTCATTCTCTCACTAGGTTTACACTGGGACACGTAGTTACCATTAGTTGAGGAGCTAACACTTTTCAGACATTGCGATGTCTGCTTCGTGCACATTATGCTTATCCTTACAACAGTGCTGAGTAGACATAATCCTCATTTTCTGAGTGAATCTCAAAATCAGTTATCCTAAGTAACTTGTCTATCATCGCCTAGAAGGAAGGTTTTGTGTTAAAGGCGTGTATTAAATGCCCTATTCTGTATAGTCATTTATGTCCTAGAGAGAGTCATTAATATTTAAAATTACTTATACACACACATAGAGTGCATATACTTTGATGCTGGAGTAGTGAAAGCATGGTCAACTAGGATTCACGAGGTTCAAGGTGCTTCTACCATATGTATTATCCAGGGCATTTCATGCAGGTTGTCTTAATTTTTTATCAGATAGAAAGGGATTATAATACCTACTTACATAAAAGGGGGCTGACTATGCAGCTTTCTCAAAAAAAGAGGGCCTTGGCCCACTTTAGAGCACTATGTTAGATAAAGAGCTAGAGAAATACCTGGCTATTTGTTAAAGGTCAACATATATTATCTCTACTCCCCACCACAACACCACAAGGTGGATATTCTTGCTCTCTAGATAGGGAAATGATGTAGAGAGCTTAAGTAACTTGCTCAGGGTCACATGGCTAGTTATTTTTCTGGTTAGGGTACCAATCCTGCTCCATTAGGATCCAAAGCCTGTGTGCCCTCTGCACATCCTCCGTGATGCTAGATATGACTGTGGTATAAAATGTGACTGCTTGAGGTTGGGAGGAATTGGGGGGAAAGTTTACCCTGTAGCAGTCTGCATTTAAAGCTCTGCTGAGGCAGAT